TTTGTGCTCAAAGAATGAGGTCAGCTGCCTACCTGAATATACTGAATGATCAGGTTATTCCATCAATGGATTGTTTCTTCCCTGATGGCACAGACATGTTCCAAGAAGACAATGTCAGGATTCATGGGGCTGGAATTGTGAAAGAGTGGTTCAGGGAGCAGGAGACATCATTTTCACACATGGATTGGCTCCACAGAGTCCTCTGAGAATCTTTTTTTGGCTAGGCAGTGTATATTTTATGTACCGCAGTACTGGTTTTAATGAAACTCTTAAGCAATCACTACTTGTGACTTTACATTTGGTGTCAACCCAATTTAAGATGGTGAGACCTACTAATGCACCTTAGCCAACACTAAATTGTCTCCAACTCAGTCAAATTTAAAGATTTTGAGCTAAAACTTGGCGTGGTATCAGCCAAAATTCATCCAACACAAACCTAATTTACAAAGTTTGATAAAAACGTTCCTTCTCATGGTGAGAAGATATTTAGTTCAAACTTGGAAGGTGACATTCATTCCGTCTAAGAAGGCTAGGYCTTTAATATTGTAAAGCTTAAACATGCGCTTGTTAAAAACTATTTTTGAAAATGCGTTGAACACTTTCTCATGCTCTTGAGGGGCATTAGGTTCATCGTAATCACAGACCATTAAACAATGATCCTCTTTGGAGGTCAGAGGTCAGGACCCCGCTCTGCAGCAACACACCCACATTGTCTGACAGCATTTCTAGAGTCAGCTCTTTATGACCAAGCAGAGAAGGCAAAATAAGACAAAAATATAAATGACAAAATATTTGTTTTATTAAGCTGCACACCCAAAAAAATTAAAGCAATTAAATTTAACTATCAGAACTTTACTTCTGCTGCCATGCATCTAAAAACCTCAAAACCTTTTCATATGAACACAGTATGATTCAATAACACACAAAACTAAAACTTAGCACAAACAAACAAAGAATAAATCATGTAAAACATTTGGATTTTGTCATTACTAATATGAATTTCCACTAAGTATTATATAAAAATACTGAATAATTAATCTGTACATAAGTGATTTGGTTATTAAAATAAACTAAAATCTCACAAGTCCACTCATTAAGAAACTGCAAACTGAAATRTGACAGGTAGTGTTTAAAAGAAACAGTTCTGTTTGACACAAAAACCTGTTAATGATTTTATAAATACAAATAAACAAGAAGAGGAATTTAACATTGACTCATATATAGTCCCTGAGCTCTCAGGCACTTTGGATAAAAAGCAACAACTTAGTGTTTAGCTAACTAACACACACACACACACACACACACACACACACACACACACAC